TTCGTTTACTTTCTGTAGCGATGTGACCTTCAGTTTGACCGGCGCAAAGTAGAAAAGAACAGCATTAGGCCAGAAAAGGAAGGAGACAACTCTCGGCCAAACTCTTAACCGGTGAGAAGCGTATAATCCGTACAGTATTGCACGGAAAAATTGATCATTTTATCCACTACAGTTGCATTGCTCAAATGTACTGTTATTGGTACCATTTACTACTGAAAATATCAACGAGACGTTTATTTATATTTGAAGACATTAAAGGCTTTAACGCTTGTTTTCGACTCGCACTACTAGTCGTGATGGAATAAAACTTTTGGCAGGTACTGTATGAAAAAGTATGTTTAATGAACAAGAGTCGAGAGTATAATGAGATTTTTTCTCCCTACCTACGATTTTGCCAGCGCGCATCCAAGACATTGGAAGGGGCACATCGCTAGAGAAAGTAAATGAAGTATAAGAATAGTTTATCGTCATCATTATCAATCCTATGATGTATGTTTAGAGCACATTTTCTTTTAATTTTTTTGCACATAACAAAAGGCAGCGATGATTACAAATTGAGAATTATGTGGGAATTTTATAGTCCGTTTTTTGTTTCCATCTTCGTAACCACGCTCACCTGTACTTGAATCTGTGGCGAATGTATCATTTTATAGTTATTTTATTTAAATATTTCAATTGTTTTAACANTGCCAAAAGTCAGTTAAAAATTTTCCATATTATTCGTTATTTCTTATTTCATTCAAAGTTTTTGGTCAAATTCCAAATTTTCTCTCAAACCGTATACTTTCTTTTTAGTATGGATAGTATTTGCTTACCTCATTATATGCTGCAAAACCTAATTAATCACGAATTTCTAATTATATGTACTCTTGTCTCCGACTGTACCTCCCAAACATCCTTAAATGACTCTTCCGAAACTAAAAGCTCCAAATTTTTCTCGAATCATTTAGATTTCGTTTTCAGTATAAATTTTTATTTATTCTCATTATTTATCAGTGGACTTTTGCTTGGAGTTCAGACTGAGTCAGTAGTTAAGTAAGATTTGAGATCAATATATGAATAACCTCCTGAATCCCATTCCATTCATTATACAATTTAATTGTACTAAACGTCAGGATAAAAGAAATACATATTGTAGTATCAAATTTAATTAAGTGCATCAATGTATGTCTTATGTGTATATTGTGTAAGTACATTATTTAACGTAGGCATATCTACGTTTAAAATACACGACATCAAACGCTGCTAACTGCGGTCATATCAGAACAATATTGTAATCGCGATTGTTTATACATATGTGCACGTAGTACAGAATCAAATGTGGCTTGGTAATGATACCTGCCGGCGGTGTACAGACGCGTATGTATGTATGTATATTGCATGTAGGTAGACCTTACTTATGTAAGCGTAGTATAGTGTGGTTATGTGGGTGTCGATAAGCTCAAAATTGCAATTGATGTCTGGCTGCTTGTCTAATACTGTACGTAATTTCATATGAAATACAGTTTATAATATTTCATATGAAATTTAAAGTAATTTTCAAACCACTGTCAAAAATTATTTGTTAGTTATACTCTTGAGAGTTGCCTCTAGATTCTCTGATTTTCTATAACTTTCTAGGAAGTGGATGTCCTGACTGAGTTTCACATGAACCTTTTGTAACGTTTTGGCTTATTTAACTATCATTAAACTAAAATTTTTGAAAGCCGCTTTGGAAAAGACATTAAATTTGAATGTTAACGATCAAGATATCCTAGATAAATTTCTCATAATGATACAGTATCTTAAAAAAACATCTTTGGGTGTTTTATACCCACCAGTCAGTAATGCTGGCGGGCGGGCAGTCCTTCCAGACTACGTCGGATGCTTGGGCGGAAGGCCCTCTCAGCCAGAAGACAGAAGAGAACGAAAGATTATCTGTGGAATTTTACTGACACAGCATTTGCCTAGGTGATCCAAGAAAATCACAGAAAAACTTGGACCAAGTCAGACGGGTGTGGCCGATTTTAGGTAGCTAGGAAGTCACATATGTCAGGACGCAAGGAGTAGTAGGGATATAAAGCAGAGGATATCGCAGGGTCAAGTCTCCTTCGATAAAAAGAAGTCACTTTTATGCTCGCGAACGGTTAATTTAGAAATTCGAAAAAGGTTGTTAAAAGTGTATGTTTGGAGCGCGGCGCTGTACGGGTACGAAACATGGACAGTAGGCGCTGCAGAAAAGAAAAGGTTAGAAGCGTTCGAATGTGGTGTTGCAGACGAGTGATAAGGACACCGTGGATAGAGAAGGTTAGAAATTGAAGTGGTATTGGAAGGAATAGAACAGAGGATTCTATGAAAGTCAATAAGCAATAGGCAAGACAGGTTGGTAGGATACCTTCTGAGGCATGAAGGTCTAGTCAGAGACATATTAGAGGCACAAACACGGGAGTTAGGATGGGTAGAGGTAGACTTAGATTAGATTACTGTTCTCAAATAGTTAGGAATGTGGGTTGTTCTAGGTTTATGATGATGAAGGCAGAAGGACTCGGAATCGAACCGGTGTCCTCTCGAATGCTAAGCAATGGTCTAAACCTTTAGCCCTTCGCTCTTCCCTTCTGTGATACAGCATCTCCACCATAAGTCTTTTTATAAAATTCATTGTAAATTCTTAATTACTTTTCAATACTTTCACACATAATTATATTGTATTACAGTGTGGGTAAACGTACACTATGCTGGGAACACGAAGAATAATTGATACGCATTGATAAAAGTACTTATTAATACAAGTAATCGAGTTAAAAATGTGTCAGCAAAATAAAAAAGGAAATGGTTTATTATCACGCCTTTTTTTTTGCTGATAACGTCTTTACGACGGCATCAACTAACTACCATCAAGCGTAATATAATTGATTTTCCGCGAATGCTTACCCAACTACTACACAGTGTTCCGATGTTGATCTAAATATGGTTACATGGCACCGTTCGTTCCATAAATGAAACCCCTTATGTTCATACAGTCACTCTTTACAATGTAGACACACACGAAGGTCAGATAAGAAATTGTTACATATTCATCCATAAATTGTAGCAACACTTGGCTCACACGGACATAACTTTCACAGATAAGAAAGCATCTATCTAATAAAGCCCATGAAACGTAAAATATCGAAGAAATTATCCCTAAAAGTCTACTAATTTAAAAACTTTATTAGGCGACAATGAAGATAAAACAGAAATAAATTGTTAAAGTATGGAATCTAGGAATTAAATTGCAATAAATATAATTATATATGTGACATAGATCTAAGTGGTCGAAACCTTGAGCTATCTTCTGCTTTATATCCCTACTACTCCTTCCGTCCTGACGTCCTAACTTCCTACATACCTAAAATCAGCCACTTCTAATTTTTCGTCTCCTATTTCTATTTTCGTTCTTTTTATACTTTTTCTTCCTTTGCACACCAGTATTTTTGTTTTACTTTTATTTATTTTCATACCGTTTTCTCAATACCGCTACCATTTTATATAACTCCTCCTTGTTAGATGCTAATACTGCTATGTCATCTGCAAATCTAAGCATACTAATCTTTTCCCCTGTAGGTATATCTATTTCTAGAGTTGTACTGTCTTTAATGATGTTGATCGCGTCTTCGATGTATGGATTAAAAAGTAGCGGTGACAGTGTACATCCCTGTCTGACTCTCTTCCTAATATTTACTTTTGTACATTGGAGCCCCAGCTCTATAATTGCCTGTTGCTCTTTATACAAACTAAGTATCACTGTCCTATCTTTGTGACTCATGCCTATATTTTTAAGTATATTTAACATCTTGTCCCATTTAACATTGTCAAAAGCTTTTTCTAAATGTACAAATCCTATGTATGCGCTCTCTCCTTTTTCTGCTGTTTTCTCTATAGTTACCCGTAAAGCTAGAATGACCTTCCACGTTCCCTTATTTCTTCTAAACCCAAATTGATCTTTCCCTAATCGTGCTTTCGTCCCTTTTTTTCATCCTCCTCTGTACAATTCTAGTTAAGATTTTTGACGCATGGGAAGTTAAGCTAATTGTTGTAAATGTCTCGCACCTATCAGAGCCTCTTTTTTATACATATCAGTGAATTATGATTAAAAACTACCTACCAACATGTTGTTGTTGTTTTCCGGATAAGCTCCAACTTTCTTGTTTCTAGAAGAATTGCTTCACTGATTACGAATGTATGGGTTAGAGCACGCTAGGAATAAATCTAACCTAACCCAACCGAATCTAACCTAATCTGACAAAAACGTTTCACTTACGATTAGTTTGTTCAAATACTCACTGACATTAACAAATGGTTATTACAATAATTCCCTGGACGTTGTAATGTAACTTGTGAATAATTTACAACACTGTCCTTTAGAATAAATTGGTAATTCACATAAACACTGAACATTAACGTAAATTACATTTAGTACAGGCAACAACGATACTGTCCGGCCGGACTTTAACGTGACCATATCAAGTACCTATTTGTCTACAGTATATATTTCTCTACAATAAATAATTTAATCGGCAGATTAGTAGAAACAATTGTAAAAGAATTTCTCTAATACGATTTGTTGAAACTGAATTTTGTAACCTAACCACACGAATGTGTTTTCTATTTAAAGACTTCTTATTTACTTACCATCAGCCTACCTGATTACTTCCTTTATAAAACAGTCGAAAGGCGTTGTAAAACGGTTTATGTCAAAAATAACTGTAAATTACCAGAAGTACAACTGATTGAAGTTTTCCCAAACGTTGAAGAATTTTTATCGTTCTTTTTTGTGATTAGTAACGAAGAAGTGTCCTATTGTGAATATGTTTTAAGATTAGAAAAAGTGTAGTCAACTGAAGAGATGGGGAATTATTTAGCTATTCCATCGCATAAAGTAAAATTTAACATTAAAAACATAAAATTACCACCACCTCCTAAATTGAGATTGAACTGGAAAACGTTTTATCCACATGAAGAATTGAAAATATACAAAGAAACGTCAGCAAAATCTAAATTGTTTTTAAACAAGTTTCTTTTTTCGTCAAACTTCGACCCAAAAAAGATGCTTGGTAAAGTTGATGCGGATGTGATCAAGAAATTGTTGAATAATTTCATGGAAATGATGAAGTCTCCACAAGGTGGAGATGCTTTTAGTTTCAAACCTGAGAGACCGATGAAGTTTCCCTATACATTTTCTGCAAAAATTGCACAATTTCCGTACAAATTTTATTACGATAACAATTGGATGGCAAAATATTATTGTTATGCCGTAATTTTGTGTCTTCCGGTATTTTATAAGCTAGAAAGAGTCTGTAAGCATTGTTTATTTATGTATACGATTTCGGTTCTTAATTCTATTTAACGATAATATTGATCTACCGTATCAATCTTTTCGAAAACCTCTCTTTTTTGAGAATGACTTAAAATGGCTCAACTAAGAAAAAATACAGACAATCCTTCCCGACTAGAATATATAGGGAGGCATGCCCCATGTAGCGGGCGGGCCTCGTGTGGCATGTCGATATAGGGATTTCCCCGTACATTCCTTATGAAAATCCCATCAAAAAAGTGGTGATACGAAAATGAGGATTGCCTTAGCGGTTTTTCATATGGTTCTTAAGGGGCAAACCTATCACATGTATAAACTCAAATTAAATCTACCTTATGGGAGCTCGATGAGGCAAATCCGTTCGTTTGAAAATACTCTCGGTAAAATGAAAAAACATATAATAATAATCCCCTTGCCCAATTATGTATACGATTGCGATGTAAAGTTCATTTTTATAAGAATTTTTAATGGGGTAGCAATAGTTTTTTCACTGCGGGGGCCACATGCATTGCTGATGATGGGCAAATAATACGATTTGCATTTGTCGAAATGTCAATCTTCGGATTATCGGTTGCTATACTTCGTATAGTTTCTGTAGCGATGTGACCTTCAGTTTGACCGGTGCAAAGTAGAAAAGAACAGCACTAGGCCAGAAAAGGAAAGAGACAACTCTCGGCCAAACTCTTCACCGGTGAGGAGCGTATAATCCGTACAGTACTGCACGAAAAAATTGACCATTTTATCCACAACAATTGCATTGCTTAAATGTGCTGTTATTGGCACCATTTACTACTGAAAATATCAACGAGATGTTTATTTATATTTGAAGACATATTAAAGGCTTTAACGCTTGTTTTCGACTAGCAGTACTGTTCGTGATGTAACAAAACTTTTGGCAGGTACTGTACAAAAAAGTATGTTTAATGAAGAAGAGGTTAATTTCTGAAGCCTGTTAAAATGACACCTTTTGGATTTATCCGCGTAACGTGACGGGTGACGCTGTGACGCTACACTTTTCGAATTTATACCTTAATAAATTTCCGTTCTACCGTCGACAAAGAATTTTTTTCACTGAACCGGTGCTGTTTTTCTTCAGTCTTTGAAATCCCGTAATTTACCGCACATATCACCACTTTATCTGACGAGAATCGTTTACCACGGTCTTTTTAACAGTCGATAATCGCTAGGAGTCAAATCTGGTAAATATGGCAGATGCTCAACTAATTCGAAGCCTGCCTTAGCTATTGTAAATGTTGCAATTACGGACGCTCAATATGGTGCATTATTTTGATCAAGAGAACACCTTTGCGTAACATTCGTTCCCTGTTCTGTTTATATCAACTGGTGTAGTTACATTGGCATAATAAGGACCTGTAATTGTGGTCTCTTTCTGTAGAAAATCTACCAAATTACATCTTCAGAATCCTAAAAGAGATGGTTACATCTTCGGCTGGGGTGAGCCCTGATGGGTTCATAAGTCTGTATTTTGGTCTCTACATCGTAATGATGGATCAAGGACTCATTCATTGTCACGAACCTCGCCAGAATTTTCTTTATCTTCATTTAATCACTGTTCATTGACACATTATACACATTTTTATAAGACTCTTCCAAACTTGATCGACAACTGTAGATAGTATTTAACTTAGAATTGAATTAGGGGCGGAACAAATCAAATCAGCCCTCGCATTCATCAGGCCTATAGTATGTGTATATTTTGACACATTTCAAGAAGAAGAAAAGTTATCTATTATTATACTCATTCTTAAATCATAACAGTTTCGATAGATTATTGACCAAGACCTTAATGTTTTTTACTTAATTAATATTTTTTCTTTACATTTTCTAGCGAAATCCCCTGCCAGTAGAAAACATTGGGCGGAAATACAAGCAAAGGAGGCGCATGAGGCGCATGGCCACGACGACTAAATAAGACAGTAAAATTCGACAACAAAAAAATAATAAACATATAATGTGCTACGTTTTTGTACAGAATATAACTTGGGACGATATAAACACAAAAATGTATGTTCAGTGAGTTTGAAGATATAGACAATATATTATTACATCACATTTATAACTAATTCAGAATTAATTTGTGATAGATTGCAGATTTAAGATCTTCTTTATTAAAAATAAACAGTGAACAATTTGCGAATAGTTGCATGATGAATTCGCTAACGATAATATTAACAACTATTAATTTACTTGTACCAAGCATTAAAGTACGCTTACCCGATTCGTTTGAGATTATGATAGGTTATCTAGCTGTATTACAAAATGCCACCTTTTCGGATTAATTGCGATATGCATTTTGACGACAATAGATTAAAGCGACCCTGTATTCTCCTAAAATTAACAATGACTACTGGGCTACTGATTAAATGAAAAAGAAAAATTGCTTATTTTGCTGGTGCCATTTTACACAAGAGAAAGCGCATACAAAGGCGTGCCTATAGATCACATATTTGGCATGAAATTGAAGGAGGCGTACTATCACGTGACCTGTTCACGGTGACTGATTAAATGACAAAGGCCAAGAGTAACAGTAGCAAAGGGGTTATCGAACACAAAATATCGCTTGCTTACTAAATGTCATTCATAAATTATATTATTTATGTGGGTACGTGGAACGTCATAAACACTTGTTATGTCCAATTATTGTAAGATCCAAGATTGTTAAACAAAATTAATACCAGTGGTGCACCACTAAGGAGGCTAAGGCTAAGAATATCAATGGACAAAATAAAAAGATCTGTGGAAAATCCTTTAAATCGCGTTTTTGATTATATACTTCGTTTGCTTTCTGTAGCGACCTTCAGTTTAACCGGCGCAAAGTAGAAAAGAACAGCATTAGGCCAGAAAAGGAAGGAGACAACTCTCGGCCAAACTCTTAACCGGTGAGAAGCGTATAATCCGTACAGTATTGCACGGAAAAATTGATCATTTTATCCACTACAGTTGCATTGCTCAAATGTACTGTTATTGGTACCATTTACTACTGAAAATATCAACGAGACGTTTATTTATATTTGAAGACATTAAAGGCTTTAACGCTTGTTTTCGACTCGCACTACTAGTCGTGATGGAATAAAACTTTTGGCAGGTACTGTATGAAAAAGTATGTTTAATGAACAAGAGTCGAGAGTATAATGAGATTTTTTCTCCCTACCTACGATTTTGCCAGCGCGCATCCAAGACATTGGAAGGGGCACATCGCTAGAGAAAGTAAATGAAGTATAAGAATAGTTTATCGTCATCATTATCAATCCTATGATGTATGTTTAGAGCACATTTTCTTTTAATTTTTTTGCACATAACAAAAGGCAGCGATGATTACAAATTGAGAATTATGTGGGAATTTTATAGTCCGTTTTTTGTTTCCATCTTCGTAACCACGCTCACCTGTACTTGAATCTGTGGCGAATGTATCATTTTATAGTTATTTTATTTAAATATTTCAATTGTTTTAACAATTTCTTAACAAATCTGTTGTTTCCCTAAATAACTTAAACTGACTGCAATAATTTTTGAACTTAAAGGATGTTCCAATTAGAATGGAAGAATGGAAAGGTCATTTGATAGTGCAGTGTATGGTGTGTATTCGTTTCTGAAGAAATGATTCTTTAAAATGACTCTTGAGTTTATACAAATTCGACTAACACGAAGGAAATATTAAAAGCCATAATTTTTTTTCGAATTAAGTATATTTCGACTTATTTTTGAGAGCCTTTGAAAAAATACATTCTCGACTTATCAGAGATGGAAGGAGATCCCTCTTGGCTGCACCACTGGTGGCCGTTATCTATAGAAATTCCCAGCGAAGTTCCTCCAAGTTGGCAGCAATCGGTGTGTGGGTAGCGCAAGCCGATCCATGTCGTAAATAAACGCTTTGTATGTATGTGTCTGTTTATATACACATTTACATACCTACATACAACGTATTATACACGCAGATAGATATTTGCAGCAGTCTGGGTCGTATTCATCAGGCTTATAGCCCCGCAGTGACTTTCTCAGGAACCGAACGGTCCAATCTGCCGTGCTGGCCGCGGACACAGCTAAAAATACTGCACTAAGCCAATAGGTTAGTGTGCTCGTTATGACTTTGAATGATTGAGATTTTGAAGGGCTTTGACATCGACGTACACCACGGTAAATCACGTTCACGTATCGGACCGTTTCAGGTGTGACGATGAGGTGTGGGCAGTAATTTTGGACAGAAATTTCAGCGGAAAAATTAATAGGGGGCGTACCTACTACATTATGCATGTATGGACTTCAGCGATGCAGACAGCTATTACTTAATATCTGACGAGATAATATATACTCGATTTTCATTATATAGGGTGTCCCAGTTATAACAATTAATATTTATACTACAGATACAGACACTTGGAACATAAAATGTTATAACACTTTTGACTTTTGAAACAAAATAAAAAATTATAAAATTATAACAAGTTTTGATGCCGGCCCTGCACAATCGCAAATTAATTACGATTGCCGGCTGATCGTAGAAAAATTCACCTTCAGTAGGTCGGAATCAGCTGCTTTTTGGGGTGATGTTATTGTTTATGTTTGGTATTAAGTTACGGATCAGCCGAGGAAAATGCACTCGCGTTAAGGTCCATTAGATGACAATATGTTAGAAAAACTACATAGCTATCACAATCGAAAATCCCATGATCGTAAACTGAATTGGACCTAATGTAGTCGAGTATTATATTCTTTTAAATAGAAAAGAAATTTTAACGACTACGGAATAGTTAGAAACGGTGCACAAACAACCCTCACCACCCAGCGTTTGGTAAAGGTTTGTATGATAATGTACTAGTGTACGAAAACAAATGTATGTGTTATGGTTGTAAAAGTTAAGATGCAGACCTACTTTGACCATTCACATGTGTTAAACGTTAGTTTTGCCTGGCAGGACTCATTAACCCCACGTGGAGTAATACAAAGATGTGTCCAGAAGGACCAAGTTGGTTATTTTGTTTTCATTAAATGTAAAAAGCTAAATATTGATATAACCTCGTATAATTACACTGCTGGAAGTGACTGGAATAAATACACATAATGTCATAGTTCCTAAGAGGTTGTTCAGTTTGTTTTGGATTGTTGTAGAATTTAGTTTGTTAGTGTTAGTTTATTTATTTAGTGGTCATTTCATGAAAGACTATTACAATAAGGATAATTAGTAGTGTGATAGTGCATTCTAGTAGGGTTCTTATTCAACCGTCAGTTGGTGGTGAATTACATTACCAATGCCTATCGTATAATTCGAAATATTCCCTGTATCTGGGCCAAAAATCGCAGCAACTGGGTACGTCGCTGTTAGTGTTGCATTGAAGCGAATGGCGGACAATTTAAACATTTTTTATAAAAGGTACGCATTTCTTTTTCACTTTTATCTTTTTTTTACAAGGTGGAAGTGCATTCGGTTTTATCCCGGTAGGTACTTGTTATATCCACACTAAATCAGCTGAGGTTGGTCGCCTAGATCCAGGCCCGTAATGAAACAAATTGTACGTTCAAATTTACAAAGACGATTTGCGAGCTCAATTGTCACTGGATTGAAAAATTGTATAACACTTCTTTGTTGTATTTTGTGTCAGGAAGCCATGGTTCCTTTTTTAATTATTATAAATGGGACACCCTGTATAGTCGATTTTCATTCTATAAGTACATGTCTACGTATGGTCTTATGAAGTTAAATCGTCATCAACGTGTGTGTTGTTCACTTGGCATTTGCAGTATTTATGTTCCATCCAAATCGATGAACTTTAATGCTAACTACCTGACGGTTGGTTATGTGGCAACCAAGTCTCGTTTTGTGGCGAAATAATGTTTTCTAGAACATTCAGGACAATAAACAGCGCACCAGCCGTTATGTAATGAAGGAAAGAGGTCAAGGGTAGTCGCGATTATTTTTATTTTATTTTTGACGGTGTTAAGAGCGGGTTATTCCCTACAGGCAAATGGCCAATTACCTCTGCATGTAGATTGATTCTGTTCTTTTTTTATGACTCCAGAAGAAACTTCAGACAGCAACTATTGTCAATATCAATATGAAAATACACGTGACCTTTCACTGTTATCATAAGGTCGTCAGCCCAAATACTGGTTGGAAAAGCTCTTCTACTTCCTCCTATCTTGAGCCAGTTTTCGCATTTCTTGAAAACTAGAGTGTCCCACATCCTTAACTTTTTGCGAACATTAATCTATTCTAAGTCTGTTTTAACCAATCTACTCCTGTTGCTTCTAGTATGTGTCTAACTACCCCATCATATCTGAGAAGGTGTCCTACCACCTATTTCACATGCTTAGTATTTATTGATTTCCTTCTATAGCATTACACTTCAAAAGCTTCCTCCATAACACTACAACTCAAATTCTTTCACGTTCCTACTCTTGAAATGTTACATCTTCTGTTAATATTATTTCCGATGACAACCTCTGGGGTGGCTGGAATGGGGCCGCTGCCGTCTTTCAAGAACTTGTCCCAACAATTTAGACTTTCACTACAGACCCTTCCATAATGGTTGAAGTTATGATTCGGTTCCTTCAATCATTAAAATTGAAATATTTTTTGTTTCTAAAACATATGAAAAGCTACACATTGGTAATAATAAAGGACTTCGTTTTACAGGAAGATTCTATACGTATTTCCGAGTTATTCTACTATAGTCCCATGAACGAAGCCTTTGCAGATGTTTTACTAAATTCTTTACTGGTAGCATGTCCTGCAGCGACTAGTTTCAAAAACATGTGGAAAAAAAGGTCCCATACACTTAGATCTTAAGCCGTCGTTTTCTCATAAAGATTCTCTCCTTTTGAAATAGGAAATCCTTATAATCGCAAAGAACTGTTTTAACTTAACATGTAGAACAAAATGCTTTTCTAATTCTTTTGAATACTTTCTTCCCTTCGTATTTTTCTGTCTCTACATGAAAAGC